TGAATGGAAAAACCCCCAACCCTTTTGTGTTTGTGCATGGTGATTGTTAATGTTTTTGGAGAAATGACTATCTGTTGACTAATCTGCCTCTTTGGGGAAGCCCTGTATACACTAACCTATATTTAATTATGAAAGGACATGGTGTACATGGACATCTTGATCACCGTATGTCTTTGAAATACATGTAATTCTGATTCTGACAAATTTTGAAAATTTGGGGACACAAGATTCTGTTCCTCTTGCTATGTATTCATCGCACATTGGGGTTTTTAATTTATTTAAATCTCACTATTTAAGTTTGGCTCCCAAAGCAGCTTTCAATTAAGTAAATAATTAAATTTACTGAATAGTACTAGATGGAGTCTTCTGTTTAATATTCCATGTATTATATTGGAAATGGACACATTCAGGCAAAGAAGAAGACTTGCAAGCAAGAATTGATTCTGTTGTCTGGTACTGTGGGTTTGGAAATTTTCTATAGTCACCTGGTCAAGGCTGAGCACTAACATAGGCAACAAGAATGAGGTGGAAAATGAAGATAGGATAGTCAAAGAGAGCAGCAGCTGAAAGGTTTTTAAGTGATCTGTTTATTGGCTAGTCACAGTGCAGTGTAGGCCCATTGAGTCAATGGAACCTACAGAGGATATGACTCAGGAAAAACTAGGGGAACTACTCAGAAGTCATTAATTTGCCATGGACACTTTAAAAAGATAGGAAACATTACAGTTTTTTTTATTTCCTGGGTGGTCGGAAGAGAGCTTTTTTTTCATAAGGATGGGTATTCAGTTTCTGTGCCTCTTTTAGGGAAATAACCAGCATATAATGTCCATGAGGGAGTACCCATGAGATGCATTCTGTATGTTTCGTAAAAGCTGAGATGAGCTCTGCAGATGCTTTGGGGCATCTGATTATAATCTTAAATGGAAACAAACTGGCGAATAATAATGACATCTTTGTCTTCCATTTCCTGAAATGTTTCCTCTTTTGATAACAATTAATGCAATGCACAGTCTAAGAATTATAGAAAATGACAGTCCTTTGCACCCAGTAGATTATGCAGATATACTAGGTGTACTAGTAAGTAGGTTAGGTAGAGCAGTGGTTCTTAACCTTTTTGAAAGAAACGCCCCCTTGAGCCATTGAGGAAGTTATCATCGCCCCCCCTCCCCGCAGTGATGTTATTT